TATTTTAGCAACAGAATATTGGGATTTTAAATACATAGCATAAAATAAGTTTAAGCAATATTAAACATGGTTACCTCCCAAGTTAAAATTGGTGTAGGACCCACTGATATTGGTGTACTTTGACATAGTGGTCATCTTAAACATGGTATGGCCATAGTGTATGACCACATTCCCATATGTATTCGTTACAGTAAGTAATTTGAAGTTTTTGCAAGTGTGCATCTAGGTGCTGTTTGACTCTGATAAAACCACTTCTTCAGGCAGAGAATTCCACATCCTTACTGTTCTTACAGTAAAAAAACCCTTTCTTTGCCTTAGACGAAATCTTCTTTCTTCCAGTCTAAACGCATGACCTTGTGTCCTATGTAAAGTCCGGTTTGTGACTAGATTTCAACACAATGGTTTGTATTGGCCCCGAATATATTTGTATAATGTTATCACATCCCCTCCAAGGCAACGTTTTTCTAAACTTAACAGGTTTAAATTTGTTAACCTTTCTTCATAGCGGATATGTTCCATTCCTATTATTAATTTTGTAGCCTCTGCACTTTTTTCTAGTGCCATAATATCCTTCTTTAGAACAGGTGCCCAAAATTGCACAGCATATTCAATATGTGGTCTTACCAGGGATTTATAAAGAGGCAAAATGATATTCTCATCCCGAGAATGAATGCCTTTTTTCATGCATCACAATACCTTACTGGCCTTAGCCACTGCTGATTGACATTGCACATTATTGCATAGTTTGTTGTCTTTAACAATTCCCAAGTCCTTTGTTCACACTATTCAACAATACCCAGATTTTGCAATTCAGGCCCCAAACAGACCTGAATTTGGTATGGATTTCACCTGATCCAAATGCCACTGAACAGCTAAAATCCAGACTAAATGTTTTAAATTTAGAAATCTGATATAAAAATTAAAAAAATAAAAAAGATTTGCATGGTGGCAGTACTAATGGCCAGTGGATAAGTAGTTAAATAACCCTCAACATCGCAAGGGTTAATCATGTGGCAGCTGTAAGTGCTTGCTATCCAGTCACCACATGTGCATGAGGTGGGGAACATTAAGAAAATGAATGGGGTGGAGAGATTACTGTGGTGGCCCTAATTATCATATTAAAGATGGAGGACTTTGTGTAATTCCCCAGGTTCCAGCTACTTCTCTCGAGATTTGGCTGTCATAGCCCTCTGGCTGGCTTACAAACCAACCAATCAGAGCACTTTTACTCATATTGCATAGTGTGGCATATTTTCTTCTTCGCTGGAAAAAAGGAAGCAAAAGTTTGATTTTATTAATTCTTATTGCATAAGTGGGGAGCTGTATAAAACTAGGGACAGGTTTGTTACATACTGTGCAGAATACAGGTTTGTAGTCCTAACAATATAGTGTTCCTTTAAAACAGCACCACTATTAAAAAAAGAAATTAATCGTCTGGGTGTGTTCCCTTTTCCCCAGTTTTCTAAACAGAGCTTATATCTGTTGTGATGTCATATGTGTAGTTCCACCAGCAATCTTTATTGTCTTACTAATCTTATATTATTAATATAGAACAGATAGTGTATCTGAAGCTGATCTATACAACGTTAACATTTTATTTATTTGTTTTTGTTTTAAAACTTCTTTTATTTAAAACAAAAAACAAAACAAAAAACACCATTGCTATGCAATGTCAGTTATTAAGGTTTGCACACAGAGATTTGTATTTTTATGTAAATAGAGAATATTTTACACTGTGAATAAATATGGACAATGTGCTATGCATTAGGGTGTGTATGTACACATGTCACATAAAATTGTCAAAAATGAATATCCATTCTACCAATTAATGCAGCGATATCCACAATGGTTTTTGTTTGTTTTCTTCTTCAAAAATAGATTTGGTCTGCACTCACGGTTTGCGTTAAAAAAAAAAGGATTCTATATTTACATGAAGAAAACAGGTCCAAGGGGATCGACGTTTCATTCCCTTAACAGGACTTTCATCAGGATCAGGGTAACATACACAGTGTGCAAATCTTAAATATATAGGGAAGACAATAACAATAATAAAGGATTAAACTTACCCTAGGTGTGTTCAGTACAATTGCTGGCATGCATGTGCATGTACTGCATGTATGTTGTAAATAAAGATGCTTGCATCAGAGACACTGGGTTGCTAAAATATGCACAATTTATTTTAAACAGTATTTAACAATGCATTGAGGGATACAACTTAAAGGGACAACTAGTCAAATTTTTACTTCTAATTTTTTTTCAAACTTTTATTACATTTAATGAAACAATTATATTTTCAAATAATGTATTTTCTTTTGGGGGGAAATGTTTAATATTTTTTATCTGTCTGAGCAGCCATGTTGGGTCAGACTTTATTTTCTGACTAACCACTGCTTAACCTAACTCGCCTGCTTCTGTTGTTGCTCTGTGTGAAACTGCAACAGCAAGTTAGGTCAGATTACAGTAGAGTTTGACCCAAGATGGCTGCTCAGCCAGATAAAACATTCTAAAAAATCAATATGCATTATTTAAAAAATATATCATTACAAGTAATAATCTTTTAAAAAATGAAAAAAGTGAAAATATGATGACCGTTGTCCTTTAACGTGGAACTATAAAATATCAACCTCCTAAAAACATAAATGAAACCTACTACCTTTAACCCTCTTCACTACAGAGGTGGCAAATTAGTGCAACATTATTTAAAATGCATTTTAAATACTGGATATAAAAATGGATAAAAAGCTTATAAGTAGTTATAAATAAAATGTCTTTATACAGATAGGTGCAGTTAAAAATAAGTATCTATATTATTCAGTGATCTGCCTGCTTCTATAGAATTGCATCTCTTTAATCTCTGTAGTACATTATTTGCACTCAGTATCCGCATACTCTACCACAGCAAAGCCTGCTAGAATGAAGTCATGAAGTTTGACCTAAAAATGTTGCTTTAGATTGTGAGAGGGTTCCATTTATAGTCCATTTGCAGGGATACTGCTTCCCAAAGAAGTTTGAATGTCTCCATATAATTATGCAAATAGTATTTGCTATACATAGAAAACAAATAATTATTTTAATGTGCTGGATTAACCCCTTAAGGACACAACTTCAGAAATAAAATGGAATCGTGACAGAATATTTCCGTCATGTGTCCTTAAGGGGTTAAAAAGTAATCATATTGAAAACATTATATTTCCACTGCCTTACACAGCTGTCACACAAACTATATTGGTGAAAGGTTACATATCATATATATATATATATATATATATTTTTTTTTTTTTTCGTTCAATTTTTGTTTACACATTGTACTCAATTACATCTAAGTTATTATTTATATTTGGTGTAAATCTGTTTGGCTTGGAGGGGGCTAATATATAAAGATTTTTTAGAAATACCCATGTCCCCCCCCCCCCTCCTTATAGTGATACACTGAAATGAGCTCATTTTCAATATCTTTAGATTGCCAGACCAATTATATTATTCTTATAGCACTTTTTTTTTCTTTTGTCTTTTTACATACTAAAGGTGCTTTTGCATGCTAGTTATCAGTTATACACTAACAAAGCACTATATACACATTTTATTTGTTTTCTGTGCAATTTGGGGCAAGATAAGTTATTTTAACTACATCATATGAATGGTCAGTTTTATGTATGTTTAACAAATTAAATCCTTGTACATAATTTTACTTTTTTTTTCTTTTGTCAATCTATTTGTTATTGGGGTAAGCAAGAAGAAATCACAGACAATGAATTAGAGGTAAATGCGGTACCTGGGATTTTAAGGCATAATCATACATTTTGTATGTAACGAGGAGGGAAATATTAAATAAATTATAAATAAGTATAAATAACAATCTTAAATTATATAACCAGAATTCTTTTTCTTTTTTGCTTCTTTCTACGTGCATGCTGATATTATTACTTAACTTAATTAAAATTAATTGACATTGAAAGGATTGATAAAAAAAAAAATGATTACACTGTTTACATTTTATACATAAAATCTTATCTTTATTATGTTATTTTTTAGTCACTGTTACTAGTGTGTATATAGTGTATTCAGAAATGATTCAGACCCCTTCAGTTTTTTTATGTTGCAGCCTTATACTACAATTGTTTACATTATTTTATTTTTTCAGATTAATCTACACTCACTACCACATAATGACAACGCAAACAACTGTATTAAAAATTTAATAAAGAGAAAAAAATGTAAATATTACATTTACATAAATATTCTGCCACTTTGCAAGCCTATCCCACTTGAAATTTAACTCAGATGCATCCAATTTCTGTGGACAATCTTTGAGATGGTTCTATACTTTGATTGGAGTCCACCTATGGCAAACTTAAATGATTTGGAACTATAAACATCTGTCTATAAAGGGTCTCACACTCTGTAAATCCATATCAGAGCAAATACCAAGCCATAAGGTCAAAGGAACTGCATGCAGAGCTCAGAGAAAGTATTGTGTTGAGGCACAGATCTGGGGAAGGCAATAAAAATGTGGTTGATTTGAAGGTTCTCATCAGCACAGATTCTTAAATGGAAGATGTTTGAAACAACCAAACCTGGCTCCCCAGCCAAACTGAGCAAACAGGTCAGAAGGACCTTGATAAGAGAGGTGACAAAGAACCCGAGGGTCACTCTCTGTCATCTCCAGAGATCATGTTAGAAGATGGGAGAAAAATGTGGAAGGACAACTATCACTGCAACACTCGACTGAACTGGTCTTTATGGCAAACTGGTCAAAGTTTATGCTTTGAGTGGGCTCCTGAAAGGCCCTGAGTCTTCAAAATGGCAGTTAGAATTAAAAGCCCAGAGATACTTTTTTTTCCATTTATCATTTTTATTAGAGAATGTTATCAATGCATATAATATCAAAACCGTAACTTTTTCATATAACAGAGTAAACAATTGCTATACGACAATTTACAACTACTTTTCCTAGATTGACAACAAAGCGTTGCTTAAAAGTATTATGCTGTTGTACTCCGGTAATTGTAGCCTTATTAGCTTCATTAAAACATAAGAATACCATAAAAAGATAACATAAAGGGAGGGGAATACAGAAAGGAAAAAAAAGGAGGGGAGGTTAGGTTCACATTGATATTGCTTATGCAACAGTTCTTGTGACACATACCCTGGCCTTAGAACCCTAGAGCCTGGCCAGACATTCAAGTCACACTTAAGTGGTGCCCTATAAGCTATTTATTCCTATCAGTTTCCTCATTGTTAGCGTTGCTGTCCTGTTCCTTTCCAATTTTTGTGGTCCAGCATTCCCAATCTCTCACATACCTACTTACACAACCCTGTGTTTTGCTAACCATTCTCTCGTAAATACTTATCGTATTCAATCTCTGTATGAGAGTATCTAACAAGGGAATCGTCGTGCTCTTCCAGTGGAACGCAAAGTTTATCTTAGCGACCGTGAGAATGATGAGCAATACTTTGTGGTTGCGGTGGTGTATCAGCCCGGGGATGATATGCAGAAGGTAGCTGGTTGGCTTCTTTTGTATTCTATAGAGTGTGGTGTCAGACATAAATTTCCCCACCCGGTCACAGTATTCTCCCAGGGCTGGACAATCCCAAAATGTGTGTAGCATAGTGCCTATCTGTGTTTTGCATCTCCAGCATAGTTCCGATGCCTCCTTATAGATTCGCGATAACTTGTATGGCACCAGGTACCATCTCATGGTCATTTTGGGCTTCCCAGAGTGATAAGCTCCTTGAGGCTCGTTAAGTAAATGACATAGCTTCGTGCCAATGTGACAGAGGTATCTCATACCCCAGCTCCTTCTCCCATTGGATCATATAGGGCATTTTGTCTTTTGCAGGCCCCTGGAGAAGAGCATTGTAACATAGAGAGAGAGGTTTCAAGTGTTTGGCTGAAAGCATTGAGGGTACATTCACTACCGCACATACACACATTTTATCCCCAGCACCAACACTGCATCACCAGCAAAAGTACACTACATCCCCTACACACACAATGCCCCCTTATACACATAGTGATGGAATCAGCTTTGCACATAGACTCACACTGCAGAAACATACCTATCGTCATTAAACCTACAAATTCCAAATGGCAGAAACATAATTGCCGGCCATCCAAAAACAGCATATCAGACGCCCATTATTATTCAGAACTAGTTCAAACTGCTCCTCAACTCACAAGCCAGAGGCTATTTGCTAACACCACACTAGCAATAATTTAAAGCAACATCAGACAGAAATGCAAGACTTTATTAACAACTTGATTTCAACACAATTGTCACAAAATTCCAATACGATGACTGACAGGGGCATCAGGAGAGAGGGGCATACATACACTGCATCCTCTAGATACCCACTGCATCACCAGCAAAAACACAATACATTTCTTACACATACTGCATCCCCATGTCAAACAACATCCCCAACACACACACTGTATCACCAGGACACAAAATGCAATCCTTACACACACTACATCCCCGACACAAACTGCATCCCTTATACTCAAACACACTGCATGCACTATAAAAACACTATACCCCTTGCACACGCACTACATCCCCTAAAAACATATACCCTCTGTCTCTCTACAGTCTTTAGACACACATACTACACCACAAACACAAAATCACACTACCACACAAACAGCCCCCTTCAATATACACGCAATCCCACAAGTGGCCTTGAAACACATTTTTTATATTATTTCCTGACCCGGTCCCGCTCTTTCCTCTGGTATATCACTTATAGAGATACCAAAGACAGTCACCAGCAATTGTATACTACAGTGGAGCTCTGTGAAACAAATATACAAAATTCACATTACTCTGTGTTTATAGCTGTGAAGCTCTGTGATTCATTACACACAGATATATGTATGTGTATATATATATATATATATATATATATATATATATATATATATATTACTGTATATTGCCTAAGTATATATTTATGTATCACCTTAGTATGAGTGCGGTGGCATAGATTTTGTTGTTTTTTTTACTGTAGGATTTTGTGCATGTCTGTGTGTACTTTTTTGTGAGTGCTTCTGCATGTCTGTGTATATGTGTGTGTATGTAGGAAACCGTGTGTATGTGTGCCAAAAGGCATGTTAAACAGTGGAATTGGGGAGGGGTGGGGATTTGGAGGGACCAAAGGTGGGGGTTTTGGAAGGGGTCATCATGGTAACACATAAGATACAAAGTAGGGACTATTTTTTCTTATGGGCAGGGTGATATCTGGCAATCTGTGGAAATGGGCAGAGCTTAAGTAAAAGTCCATTTCAGTTGCCAAGTTAATTTACCCACAATCCATCAGTCTAAAGAATCCCACAGAGGGGCAAACAGCAGACATTATGGACAAAATGGAGGAATCTGGATCTAGAAGACAAGGAGAACAAAATTGAGGCTTCTGGATTTAGAGGAAGAAAAGGTAATAAATATAAACTAAAGCTAGTAGCAAGGGAGGGGGCAGCATAATCAATTAGCTGCAAGGGGCATAAGGATATGAATACTGAGAGACAAGACGAAACAAACCATGACAATGCTGCTTTATAACTGCTGATAGTGTCCCATTTACAGTGAGCTTTCACCTTGAAGATTACATTTTTCTATGTACTCAAGCAACCCTAGCCAAGAATGTAGCTCAAAGCAAGTTCACAAATTATGTTGATGTTTCCTTTTCATTCACTCATATTATTCCATTTGCATTACTGCAACTCCTTGCCAGCTGGATTTCACTCTTACTATAAAGCAGAAAAATTTAAAGAAAAAACGATGTATTATATAGATAATTTATTAAAAAAAATAATAATAAAAAAATAAAAAAAGGAATACAAGGAAATGTAAAATAAAAATGCATGCCTTAAAACAGTGATTCCCAAACCATTCCCTGTGACCCAAGATCAGTTCTGGTTATGTCAGTATCTCCAATGGAATAAAACAGGCAAATACTTAAATCCTGGGGTGTTAATGGGCCTTGAGGACTGTTTTGAGTATCACTGGCTTAAAAGGTATGCTACAGAACAAGAATGTCTCAGTCTTTTCAAATTATTTTTATTGAACATTTTTCAAAACAATTTTAAACAAAAATATAACAATTAAAAATGGGGAATTGTATAAGGGGGTGGGTGAATAACATTAAGCAAGGCAACTGGATTAGCATCCATATTTAAACAAATTTAAAGTAACATATTGAGGAATGTCTCTTTCTGATGTCAGGGGTCTATTGTCATCTATGCTAAGAGGTTTATGGGATTATAGGAACTAGCTTTACGGAAACTACTTTAAAAACGGATTTTCATTGCCATCTCTTTGCAACTGGACAGTTTTGGGGTGCTGAGGACACATCTAGAGTTGTCCATTGATAAGATTGCATTATAAATATTTCCTTCTGTAAAAATATCTGCCTCTTTGCATTTTGGTTATTTAAATTTATATTGATTCACGTGTCATAATACAATCATATAACTCTGGCCCTCAAGGGCCAGTAACAAAGTACACTATACAGTTAGTATATAGCAAAAAAAAATATAGACATACACCAATATGAAATATTCTTTATATGAAACTCTGTTTGGTGATACACTATACAGTGCCTGATATAAAATAAAAGACCACTGGTATAGTGTTACACAAAGCAAGGATGCTGGGGAACAGAACTACGCCTCTATTAGTTAGGTAGCATAGTATGATTACATTGAATACTTGACTGTGCAACATGAGATCCCAGAGCAAAAACAACACACTATTTATAGGTAATACGGGAGGAAGATAACACAAAGGTTGGAATTTGTCATTATTATTTTATCATTTATATAGCACCTGCAAATTCGGTAGCACTGTACAATGGTTATGTCATGATACTGTATATCCCCAGTCTCTGTTAGTGTAAAGGGCCTCAAAGTTTTTACTTTGGACTAAAACCCTAAGTGTTTCTGAAGTCTTGTAAGTCCCACGATTGGATGTACGCAGTGTCCAGTGTCAGCATAGTCTGCATGCTGACGCCAGTCGTCAAGAAGATCCAATTATTTTAACTATTTTAGTCTGAATCCTGTAGCCACTAGTAGTAGATGTGAACACTGCAAAATGTGAACAGTGCAATTTCACATAAATTAAATGTTTTAACTTGCACAGATGGGGTGGCGGCATTTATGCCCCCTTCACTATATGATTACTGTTATTTTAAAATATTCTTAGAGTATAATCTCCAGCTACTACGTTAGGTGCAGCATTAAAAAATGTGTTTCCTTTTTATTGGTAAAACAGCAGTGTCCATGAGTTGGCATGAATTATGGGAATTGTAGTCTGACAGCTGTCGGCCAGGTTGGGTATCTCTTTACTGTAGTTACTTGGTTTATTTGTTTGTCTTGAGCACCTTATTGTAGGATATGATGTGATGTCTATATTAATATTACACATAAATCATGCTCTGCAGATTTATTTATGTTGTTTATTTTTAATGGCAGACCTTTCCAACAATTAGACATCAATAAAAGATCTCAACGGGGTCAGGCTAATTCATCGCAAATACAAATAAGTTTCTTTATATTGAATTATACAGTAAAATTAAATTGTTTCATATGAAGTGTTATCGCTATGGTTCAGTAGACTATAACTCAGAACAATTTAGTATATTCACTAGTCACTGAGCAGCTTTAAAGGGGCATTCTAAACTGAAGTTGACCAATTTTAATAAATTAATAATAATAATATACGTAAGGTAATACATTGAAAATATTTTGTGACTACTTTTCCCTATTTACATTACCTATTGTTTGTGGATTTTGTTTGTATTACTCCTTTTGATATTATACTTCTCAATTCATTGAAGATTTCAAATTAGAGAAAATAATGCCAATATGTAATTGGCAATATGTAAAATAATGCCTCATGCCTGCACGGTCAAAGTTAATACTGAGGAGAGACAGGCTGATCTGGCTCCGAGGGAGGGAGATCCTGAGGTATTGGGCAGACTGAGCCGCGGATCTCCCTCCCTCGGAGCCAGATCAGCCTGTCTCTCCTCAGTGCCTCCCTCTTTCTCTTCTCAGGTGCACCCCCTATTGATCTAGTTTTCTATTGCAGTTATTCAGCTATTTGGCTTAGGGTTACTCAACCCTTTACTTAGGTGCTATAAGGTATCAGGGCTACCCCATACAACCTGTTTAGTAATTACTTTATTAGTGTGGGTATTATTCTACATTCACAGTGTTCTGTACAGCTTCTCTGCCAGATCACTACCACAGAATAGAGGCTGCTGCCCTGGGTTTTACTTTTGCCTCTCCTAACTTAGAGTATTAACTTTGACCGTGCAGGCATGAGGCGGTGATCCGGAAGACCCTTCCACTACCCCCATTATTACACTCCAACCTATAGGGAGCGAGGAGGGAATTATGCCTTCTGAGGAGTTTCAGGCTCTTTTGGACTCGACCATGGCAGGGTCCATCCAGCGGGCCATTGCGTCCGCCATGGGGTTGATGTCCTCTTCTATTTCCCAGACCCTGGCCCAAGCCTTGTTTATACCCAAGAGGTCGCATGCTAATATGGTCACGGCAGATAAGTCGGCGCCAACGGCACGCAAAGCCACGTCCAAGACAAAACACATATCCCCTCACTTAATGAATCAGGCCTTGCCTGAATTGACTGCTATGCTCGATGCGGTCCCAGGTGGCGCGATACCGCGCAAAAGAGCCACTGGTCGGGCAAAAGCGACCAGAAAATGAAAACGGGCACGGCCCCGAGAAGAAGGGTCAGACATCGACCAGACTGAGGGGTCCGAGTCAGAGAATAGGAATTACTCCTCTTATGAGGAGGCGGATTCGGAGGTGGAGGAACAGGCTAAAGGTACGCAAGTAGATGGGATATAACGCCTCCCAGGGAACCCTACAAACAAACCCACAGGCTCAAGGGATGTCATAATTTGTTTTCGGTCATGAACTGATAAGGACACATTTATGGCACAAGTCAAAGGCCAGTCTCCATTCAATTTTGAACAGCATCCACTGTGCTTTTTTCAAGACCTCAGCAGGTTCACACTGCAGTGGCGTGCCACATTAAAGGAGGTGACCAATCAACTGCAAACAGCAGATATTCCGTACAGGTGGGGGACCCCGCGGGCGCTTGTAGTGGAGAGGAATGGAAAACGGCACAGACTCACCTCAGTGTCCAATGCCGACAGCTTCCTGCAGTCCTTGGGACTGACTGCTACCACTACTGCCGGGCCGAACAGACCAGCACACGAGTGGGATGTTGACAATGTAGCAGTCTTCACACCTGCCAACTCAATTGCCCCAGGATGAAACGCCTAACTGAAGGACCTAAGTTAACCTATAACCCACAATTATACTTACTTTATGTAACTTTAAACTTATGCATTTTGTTCTGTTTGTTTTTTAAGATATCGCTTGCTCTCTCATAGATCTGTCCTCCGGGACCCTCCGACCAATACAGGTTCCTAACATTCCTACGTAATGCAAAAATATTCACAATCGCTCCCCCAAGGACCCCACCCCCCCCCCAAGCTCCGGGGTCAGGGAGCTAACTTAAATATCCCTTGGACTCATCTACAATCCTGCTGAACACAAACTCAACACAGCCCAACAAAGCCAGTTGATAAACACTAAGGACTATAACTCCCCGCAACAGGGACCCTAGACTCCAATCTTCAGTATCACCCACCTGGAGTAGACATACACATGTAAACCCCGTGATGATTTCTAGTTTGCCTATCATATTCAGGACACTCACCCTACCTAAGCTTGTCAACATAGTTGACCAACAAGACCAGTGCCTAGGATATGTAAATACTTAACTATGATTTCACTCACTAGCACTCCTATGCAATGTACAGTTGACCCAATGTCGCACAACAAAAAAAGTGCTGTATTTCTGACTTTGTTGATAATCCTGCTAATAACCTAATAATTTAGTCGGATGCCAGCTTACACGGCTGGGGTGCGTACTGCGGCAATATCTCTACCGGAGGCAGATGGTCAACGGAGGAATCTTCGATGCACATCAACGGACTCAAACTGATAGCAGGGTCCTTTGCCTTCTACAGCCTGGTGCCCAACCAGGCGAAATGCTGCATACTGCTCAAGATGGATAATGTGTCGGCTGTGAGCTATATCAATCGCCTAGGGGGCACGAAGTTGAAACTATTGGCGAACCTGGTGAAAGACTTCTGGCGGTTTTGTCTCCTGAACAATCTGTCGGTCATAGCGGAACATATTCCAGGATTAGACAATTCATGGGTGGACTGGAATTTGAGATACCTTCGGGACGCAGGAGACTGGCATCTACACACTTCAGTCTTTCAGACAATCGAGCGACTGTGGGGCCCACTGGATATCGACTTGTTGGCCTCCAGACTGAACTCCCAGCTTCCTTGCTACTACAGCTGGAGGCCGGACCCAAACGCACTAGCGGTAGATGAATTCCTGCAGAGATGGCCGGGGAAGAGGCTCTACACATTTCCGCCATTCAACCTGATTCTTTGGACATACCTATGCAGACACAGGTACTCTCTGGTGATCATCACACCGTTGTGGAAAACTCAGCCATGGTTCCCAAGTCTTCTGGAGATGTGTCTGGATTTCCCACGTCTAATCCCAACGATGCCTTGACTCCTGACAGACCCAGATGGGAAGGCACACGATTTGGTGGATTAGGGTCATCTTTAACTGGTGGCTTGGTTAGTTTCAGGAGTACCTGGATTATCCCTGGCATTCCACAATTGACTCTCCGACTCCTCGCGAACGCGTGGGCCCCAGGCACAAGGTCATCATACCGGACTGCATGGCAATCTTGGGCTGGCTGGTGCATGGAACAAGCACTGGATCCAGCTACTACCCCTCTGAATATGGTCCTTCATTTCCTGACTTCAATCTTCGATGCTGGAAAGGCCTATAGGACAGTCAATGTGTTACGATCTGCGATATCTGCGGGACATTGTGGCCTCGATGGATCCCCTATCGGGAGACATCCACTAGTATGTAGATTATTAAAAGGAATAAAGTTGTCAAGACCCTTTCGGGCAAGATATACCTCATTCTGGGACATCAATGTGGTGTTACGTCTGTTGGAACCTTGGTTTCCAGATGACACGTTATCACTTAAACAACTCTCATGGAAGCTACTCATGCTACTCTACCTCATATCGTGCAAGCGTGTGTCAGATGTATGAGCATTGGACTGGGATGCTCTGGTTTTCCAGAGGGAATTAATCTTTCGATATTACTTGCAGGATGAAGTCTTCTAGAAAATCTGTATTTTACCCAGGATTTCCAGATAAGCCTGTATTGTGCCCAGTTTTGTATGTAAAATCCTACTTGGAACAAACACGCTCCATTCACTCCGATGGTTATCACCAGCTCTTCATTTCATTTCCGAGACCGCACCCTTCCGGTGCATACCAGTTCACTAGCTCGTTGGATACGTGACGTAATGGCAATGGAGGCAGTGGATACCTCCCTGTTTTCAGCAAACTCCGTCAGAGGTGCCATGGCTTCCAAAGCTTCTGTAGCGGGCTGCAGACTGGTCTAATGATTCTACATTTCGTAATTTCAATTTCCATCCGATTGAGCCGATTGATAGCTCAGCTTTGAACTTGCATAATACGAGCCTCAGTGTCATTAATAAAATTACCAGATTTTACTATTAACATGACATAAAGTCATGATTTTATTAATGACACAGAGGCGAGTATTATTCCCGCCCACCCCCACCAGGGTAACTAGGGTTTTTGGATTCCTCACGGTAAGTGTGAGTAAATATATATATCGTAGAATGGTTTATGTTTATTATAGTTTGGTTGTGGAATAATAGCGTATACAGAACATGGTTGTTTATGTGACGCACAGTCATAGAAACGAACATTACCATCTATTTTATATCTCAACAGTTTGATTGCTCTGGATGGTTCCTGGATCGTGACTGGAGGAAGTTATTAGTTTCGTTCAGGATATCCTGGTCTTCGGTTGTGGATCCCAAGAAAGAGGAACTTCATTGATTGGACCGTTACGTTTATAGAATATGCAATCTGTTGATTGGTTGCCCCGTCACTAGGTAGTATATTGTATTATATGTTTTAAGTTAAAGTTTTTTCTCTCATTCTTGCTGCTGAGGGAAATAAATGGAAAGAGAATGCATAATATGAGCCTCCGTGTTATTAATAAAATCATGACTTTACGTCATGTTAATAGTAAAATCTGGGAATTGCCGTTCATTTGGTGTGCTTGCTCCGCACTTGCTGTATACTTGATCTCTATTGTTACAAGGGTGGTACAACCGGAACAGCATTACAGGACCCCAAATTTAGGATGGCCCTGCCAGATCCAAGGCAGTTGACATAAATAAAATCCCTCAATTTAGGAGGAGCAAAACATATTTAAAAGAAAGAAAAACATAAATAGCTATACCATAGCCTTTATGTCACTCCTGACTTATGTGTGCCAGATGTGCCTAGGAACACCATCCTCGCTGTCCTGTATTTAGTTACCTATCTCAGTCATTTGCAGTTACTTATTTGTTGGAATAGAAAGGAGTATGAAAATTCAACAAACATTTTGTCATCACTGACTAAAATATCAGTATGAAGTGCTTCTTCTTTAACTTACCTTTTTTTTTAAGAAAGAAATTTGCTGGTAATATTAAATTCGTTTTAGATTTGATAAATTAAATATTCTTGATGATTTAGTAATTAAAGTTCATATTTAAAAAATAAAAATAGTATCACAGGCTATAGTGCACATTCTAATGAATCAGGCTCCAAATATTTAAAGTGGCTCTGTTGTATTATTTTTATTTTCCTTATGCCCCTTATATCTTAAGGATTATTCTGCCTTCTTTGCCAATTGCCTTTATCCACATTTATTATCTTTTCCTCGTTATGCCAGATCTTAAAACCTGGGTGCCCATGATGTCTGCAGTTTGCCCTTCTATGAGATTCTTTAGACGGATGGATTGTGGGTAAATTAGCTTAGCAAATGAAATGGAACTTTGTTTAATCTCTGCTCATTTCCATTGATTGTCAAAAGTATTACTTTGACAATTGTTGTTATGTATTATTAAAATAAATTAGAAAGATAATATTTTTTTAAAGGATTTATTTAAAAGCAAAACCTGCAAAAGTGACAGAACCAGTTTAAGCAAACTGGTATTGGTGCCTGAAGAGCCCCCATTCAATATATGCATCCAATGAAGAGATGCGGTTTACAATTTCTAGCTTAGAGCAAATTGATATGATTTATAAGAAGCCAGTGTATATACATTGTAATGAATTTCTCAAACACAAAATATAACATTTGATGCAGCAATGAAAAGTTAACCTTTTTTTCTACATAAATTACACTGTTGAATACCACCTATAACTTGTGTTAATCTTTCTTTCTTGTGATGCTCCATCTTCCTTCAAACATTTTAAAGATTTAGCAAATTACTTCAGAATCCAGTTCAGCCCAAACACAGTCAGTGCACATATTGAATTGGAGGAAGATATACAGAACCATTTGGGGAGAATTATATCCCCTTAAGGACACAACTTAATATTTCCGTCATGTGTCCTTAAGGTGTTAAGGGGTCACTAAGTAACCTTGGCCATTTTTATTTTCCGCTGTGAAGTAATGATGTTGAGGGTCTTTTCCACAATTTATTTTTTGTGACTTTTTTTTTTGTGTTATTCTTTGTTTAACCCTCTAGAATGTAATCTTGTTTAAGTAAAGCGCTCAATACCCTCTGTTCCTATGCGTAAAGCTCATCTTGTTGCAAACACGTCTGTTAGTCCACCTATTGTACAGCACTATGGAATTTGTTGGCGATTTATAAATAACTCATCCCATTTACAGTAGTAGAAATTGAGGCAGAACACCTACAGAACATTCACACGGTATTCTTTACAAGTAGGACAATTATGGAGGTACAAAAACCAGCTAGAATATAACAAAAAAGAGTGACAAACTTTTAAAACGTTTTAATAAATTGGAAACCCCCAAAAAAAAGATACCAATTACTTACACCATGTTGTAAAATTATTCCCTGTGTTTGTTTGTTTTTCTCCACCTCCTCATATTATATTTAATGACAGAAAATGGCAGATCCTATAACAATGATTGACAGGGAACCAAGATGAAGGCAATAGGAAAGAGCTAAACATGGCAGAGTGGATTCATTTTATTTTTCAAATCTCAACCATTTTTGGTACTTATACAGGATTGGTAAAAATAATATTACAAATCCTGGAAAGTGATTCCAAGAATGATAGCCTTTTTTTACATTGTGAGCTATGAGGAATGCCATCTTCACCTACTGGAACAGTATGTCAATCATGTTTTGTTAGAATTCATTGTGTTTTATTTACCTTTTGTATAGAGCTGTGGAATATGTTGGCGCTATATAAATTGTATTTGTAATTTTGCTTCAATTTAACCAAATGTTATCCATACGAAACTCTCAAGCATACCAATAGTAAATGGAGCCACCAGTTCTTACCACAATACTTTGCATGATATTCATAATTGTGAAGTGTAGTGGTCAAACCATGTCTGTGTTATGTGTTTCTTTGTTTTTGCAACAATGTGTTCATATAGGAGTGGAAATACACACTGCAAATATAATCACTATTCATATTTAGCTGTTAATACTCATGTAAAATAGATTTAAAAACTAGTCATGCTTGTAGCCTTCTCACTTCTCCAAATTTTATCTGCATGCTCCCCACTCCAACAATCTAATCTCCGTAGGACATGAACTCCCCATCTTAATGAATCCATGTGGGCACCTCAATCACAGTCTAACTGCTGCACTTACAGAACCCCACCTCTACTGTTGTGTACCCTGACAAGTGCAATACGCACCTTTCTTGGCTATATAAAAACCTAATTTATATATATATATTTATATATATATATATATATTTTATTTTTATTTTTTTTAATACTTTTTTTTTTTAAATATAGTGATATCAGCAAACATTCAAATGAAGTACATTAATTTTGTTAAAGCAGGGTGTGTGTGTGTATGTATATATATATATATATATATATATATATATATATATACACACATATATATACACACATATATATACACACATATATATACACATATATATACACTATACACACACACACACACACACACTATGGAGATACACTCATAACGGTTTCCATTACTGAATAATAAAGAAATTAAACTTCCCAGTGAATCTGTGCAGACAGGTAGGCGTACATGAAGACATTTTATTAAGCATGAGAGTGTAGTAATCAGGAGGATTGGGGAGACACTACCTTGATAATCTAGTAAGGGATGAGAAGCGTTAGATTCTCCAATCATGCTTTATTGCTAAGGAAAGATGAGAAAACAAAACTGAAGGATAAGGAGTTGATTATTTTCTTACAACTAAAGCAATTACGTTAAAAATAAATAAGTGGAAAGACTGATATAGAATTGATTTTTCTGTGAGAAATTGCATATTTGACATTTGCCTATTTAATTTTACTCTTATTAAGGTGCGTGGATAATATTTTTACACATAAAAAAAACCAAAATGCAATGGATTGTTATTTAACCAATATACGATTTGCAAGGAGGACAACTTCAACCTTATTGTATCCCCTTTTTTCTATGTTGACATATACTATATCGAAGGATATACCATACTTTAATGAGATAATTAAATACACCCATCCCGCCATCTTTATATATTTATACCAATATATAAATACACACACATGTTTATTATACATAGTAAATACTGAATGTATGGAGGTATTTACAAGCTGAGGACTTTGTAGATAGAAAAACATGGTCATGAATGGGTCTGGAATACAGAATGCTAAGAAGCAACAACAAAAAAAAGTGTATGCTCGTTTATCATACAAGTATGTAGCCAAGTTTATTTTTTACATCTAATAATGCAATGGAGTGCAAGCTCTGTGGGTTATAAGCACCTGCGTTTAGAGGAATTGGTATAAAGATGGAGGGATGGGTGTATTTAATCTCATTAAAGTATGGTATATCCTTCGATATAGTAACAGGATAGAGAATTCCACCTCCATTTACATCTAATGAACTGAATAGGAGTGTAAGCAGTGTGATGACGATTGCATCAATTGGCTGCCTGGGCTTCCTTGGAGATTTAGTCCACAATTTGCAAGATCCACGTTGGCTAATTTTTTGCCATTCAGTACCAGATTAGGACTTAAAAACCCAACGGCTGCGTCATATTTACAATGTTAAACATTAGTAAAACAACACACAGTATAAACAATAAATGTGTGTTAAGCTCACTGGCTTTTAGTACATCCACGTTCCCCTGCAGTGAGCCCCGGAGCCTCTGGGAGCCAGCGGCTTTCATAACGAACCCTTTGGCGTATGGAAGTGGGATGTCCCTGTGTAATGTGTATATTTGTGCACACGATGTGTGCTATGGGGGAAGGGGTGTCTGTATATGATATGGTCTTCCGCATTCCTGATTTTAGGTGCGTGAGGCTTTAGTTACATTCCAATTCTGATGGCTCTTTAGTGCCTCATAAAGGGTGGGAAAAGGCATCTCTCACACCTAGATCTGTTACTTCGTCTGCAAACGGGGCTATTTAATGGATCTTTAAATTAGGCACATTCCATTGTTTGGGTACTGGGAAAAGAAAGACATGGTTTGTTTAATAATATCCCATAAACTCTTAAGATGCGAGTGTATATATGAGCTACACAGCAGTAGGAATGCACATGAAATATTAAATTCTCGCTATAAATTCACCACTTAATTTGTGTACTTCAGTTCAGAACAAATAGATCCAGTGAAGATCGCGATCTGTGTAGTTACATTATTAAAACTTTATAAAAAAGCAGTTTTGAACATCACTGATTGTTATGTATCAAATAATTCTACATTAAAGTTCTAAAAGTGAGGTGATCAGCAGAAACATTCTGTTAGTTTCCATGGAGACTGCGCCACTTTTAAACGTTAGCTCCAGAATTGCTGGTTTTGACCTAAAAAAACAAAAAAACAAAAAAAAAAACCACACTCTTCTCTTGGCCAAAACGCATATGTTAAATATTTTGCACTAGAATAGGTTATATATCTTGTAAACCGCTTCAATTCACATCTTATCGTACTTCACTTTTACACATCGCCACAGAACCACAAACCGTTTGATTGCACGACCCATATTTCTTCATGTGATGAAGTTACAAAACAGGGTCCTTTCGGGTTGCCTTTGGACTTGCCATTACCTCAAAATATTGACCGCCTAGATCAGTGTCCCATAATATTGAAATTAACACTTCTGCCCAATAAATGCACCTAAAAACAAAGAATGATTGTAGCAAGTGGAAAAAGCCCCTTAAAAAAAATAAAAATGAATCAAATCACTATCAAGTTCCTTAAACTGAAACCCAGTGTAATATCAGTTATGCTTACCTTCCTTCTAAAAATACCAGTCCAACCTTTGACCTAGAATGGATAAATGATACATTCCTTGACTGTAAAGATACTTTTGAACTACATTTCCCTTGAAGACTAGACAATGTGAAGGATGGCTAAGCAACATTGGAAAATGTAGTACGCCCTATCAGCATTTGCCTAGCTTAGCTATCCCAGTTCTGATGCATTTAAAAAGGGTCAGAGAAAACTTCACACTGACTTTAGGAAAAACAAAAAACAAAAAAAACACAAAAAAACCCCCACACATTTATGTTTCTGTTCACATTATAAATATATGATGTATATAGTTAACTAAAAACATGTCCACACTGGGATAATTTTTGTATTTTTATTAGTGGAGGGAAAAAAATGGCACCTTTAAAAAAAAAACAAAAAAAAAACAAAAACAACAACAAACCCACAAACACAGCTATAGGAAACCTTTTTTTTTTTTTTTATAATGAGGATATATACATTGGTTACATCTGGTTCTAACTTTCTAAAAAAAGGCATATATAACCACACCAAAAAAAAAAAAAAAGCCTGCTGATCAATAGGTTAATACCGGCTGGAAAAACATTAATGGGTTAAAAAAAATAAAAAATTTATTCAGGTTTTCAAAAAATGGGAAATTGACAAGAACAAAGTGGTGTAATCTCGTACTTTAGTCAGGTTAATTGTGAAGACCTAATACGCTTTACACTTTGGTGTACAGCTAAAAAAGGGGAAAACATTTAAAACGGGTCAAGAGTGCTGCACATCACATTTGTTTTGTAATGCTCGTGCGAAGATTTCACCATCTCTTATTTGTACACAAACACTACGCACTGATTTTTTTTGACATTACGAACCATGTATTTATATGAATGTCAAAAAGTCTTCCAACATAAGAAATAAAAACAGGCCAACCGAGTGGTCTGCACTTTATTTTTATTGTGGAATTCTAATTTCCAGTTGTGAATCAATGATTTGGTGGAGCTTGTTCAACACTTACTAAAGCATTCTAGCAATCATTCTTCTGGCTGTGGTACAATGAGAGTTAATCTCTTTGTAACGAAGGAGGCAGGTCTACCCCACAGAAGGGTTAACTGGCACTTTGATAGGTTTAGAGAGGAATGTATTGTGAGCTCCTGTCAGCCTCTGTCCTGGTGCCCTCTGACCTATTCGTGTTGTGCAGTTTAGGCTATACTTTGTGACTTGCGTGGAAGTCACAGTGGCCAGGATCATGCCACTAGATGTATTAGCTCCTTCTTGGATCCCCACGTACTTTCCTGGTTCATTCACATATTGTAAACCAAAGAAAGGGCAAGTCATTGAGTCCAACCCCTCCCCCTTCTCTATCTACTCTTCCTCTTTCTTCCCTCCTCCCAGCCCCCTCACCTTCAACCTGATTGACTCAGCTGCTCTGGGGACAGAGGGGAGAAAGGCCCTGGAGGTCATAACCTCTGCAATCTTCAAAGGAGCAGCTGCCAGATCTCTCAGTGACCAGACCCCCCTCCCTAGCCCCGCAAGGTCAAGAAAAAAAAAAAAACCAAAAATAAAAAAACATTCTGAATAGGTAATTCCTGGCAAAACGTAAAAGTTTGGTCAGTGGAAATATCCGTTTTTAGAGTTGGTATGATAAGATTAGTGTGGGTATGGCAGGGAGCGGCCTCTGGGGGGAAGCATGCTCCAGCATGGGCAGAGCTGGCTCATCCACGTGCTAGAGCTGCAGCCATTTTCTGTGTGTGCGGAATAAAACATTGAAAAGTCTACCTTGTCCCAGGCAGTCTGCATGACCGGGGCAAAGAGCAGGATCTCCGTCCATGAGACACAAGGGGCATGCCTGGGGATGGTTGGGGGTCAGGAGAGGTCCTCTTTAATGGGATAGCAAGCTATGCTTATAGATATCCGTCTTCCCTTTCGCTTTAAAATGGCTTCCCCCCCCCCCCAGACTACAGCACGATCAGCAGGTGGCCTGAGAGACCTATACATTTTATATTGTCCGTCTGTGAACTGATAAACTAGAAGAATTAGGGCATATTAAAAATACTATTTAAACAAGAAAATGATCCAAGGGAAGGCTAACATCGTCCAACCAGTCAAAACTATCAGGATATGCCTATGAACTCTCTATATTTGACATGCTATACATACAGTGGCACCATAATTACTATTCCAGAAAAGTTACTTACGTTATGCCATTTAAAAAAAAAAAAAAAAAAAGTGACACGTTATTATATATAGATTTTTCTCTACAGGGATAATAACAATTAAGCAAATAGGTATGACGACATCTTCTATAATAATCAGCATGAACAAGTATTTTCAGCACACTAGAAATGCATAAAAATATTTTTTTTTTTTTTTTAAATCCCACGTTAAATCAGCGATTGCAGCCCATTCATATTTCTTTAAAGTTTTTTTTTTTTTTTAAGTATTTATTTTTAAAAATCATCAATGATGTACATTTAAGATAAACACAAGGACCAGCATTGAAATTTTAAGCTCGCACTTTATTTTATATTTCCAATACAACCCTCTTATCCAGTTGGGTTTTACATAAATTAACATTAATACAATCAACCAATACACGAATTAACCAACGGTTGCTGGTGTTCACAGCACTATAAATGGTTTGTAGAAAGTGTATTCAGAAGACGTGGAACAGTATTTGCCAGCATATGGTGTATGTTGTCAGCTTGGAGGAGTTGTCCTTTCGGTGGGTACTCTAGGTTCTGGGCAAACTTAGAAGTCAGGGTCAGACTAATGCCCTTTCATCATTGCACTGCTTATATTTATTGTGCCACAGTAGTGCAACAGGGAAAGAGTGTCAGTCAGCCTGGGGCAAGCAGAGCATTCACCAAATTACCCTACTTACACAAATACCATATTAACCTATTGAGCAGGACTTCACACGGTACAACAAATTATCAATGTAAAATATATTTTTACAGAACACGATGTAATTTTATGACAGATACACAATTAAAAAAAAAAAAAAATAGGTGTTATATTTTATAACATTAACAGTAGTCAAAGTGTTTCATGCACGCCTGAACACAATCTATTTAGAGGAGATAGTAAATAAAAATGTTGCAGTTTTATAAGAGTGTAAGAGAAGGCTAGGGATTTATCTATACAGGGTCTGGGGTAGCAATGATTTTGATATCAGGCTCCAGGCTGGGCTGGTTACAGGGGAATCGATAAGACTTCCTCCCACTTGAGCTGATTTTCTTAAGCGAGTGTCTGGTCCCCACCCACTGAGCCCTTTCCTGGGCCTCACAGGTCCCAAAAGAGATCCCCAGACCACCTGAAAATAGCAGGGAAGGCCACCCACACTCTGTCCCTGTCAGCCCCTCCTATCCATCAGCCACCACAATCCCACACACTGCCTCCTTACATTCTGCCCCAGTGAAGCTCTCTGCATTCTGCCCCTCCCAACCCATTTTAACCTTCCTTTCTTTCTTCCCTCACATACCTCAGACCAAACAGCTCATCACGTGACACCCCCATTACCGAGGGTCCCTGGCAGGGATTCACTGGAGGGGAGGGGGCAGTGAAACTGATTGCAAGAGGTTTCACATAGTCAAATACAAGTCGAAACCCCTTGTTAGTTGGCTCTGCAAAATGATGTCACGAAAACACTTCTAGCCTTCAGATAAACCCCATTAATATATTGTAAATCTATATAGTCATTGCAATAATCTACCATCAGGATTGGGCTTTTAAATGCTACAAATGGCAGAACGTGTAGCCTACACCTTTGATTTGTGTATCAAGTCTTATTCACATTGTGTCATATTATGGATAACTGTGTCACATACTCCCCATGTCTAATACCGTCTACACTTGGTCAAACTACTAGAGTATCAGTTATTAATCCAGATACGTATTTTGTTGATAAGCCATCTGCCACTGCAAACAAACACGTACCACCTCTGCCGTGTAGCCACTGCATGCACCTACAACACATGTGAAATTAGTTTCACTCAGTTGTACATTGTTAAAAATCGAGACTCGGTACAATAGGTTTATATACAATATATTAAAAAAATAATTCTATATCACACAAAAATCCAATTGTTTTAAGACAGAATTTATTTTTATTTTTTTATAAATTGTATAATGTGACATACGACAATCAGAATCTTTCCAGTGCAATGTAAAATTTATATTAAATCTATTACGATTGCCTTATTTTGGAAAGGAAGTCTTGCAAAATAAAACAAATCACAACTCTAATTCTACAGGAAGTGGACTAGAAGCCTCCATTACATACACAGATATAGTAAGGCCAGTTTGGGACGGTGAATGGAACAGATCCCATCTAGAATATTTTATTATTATGTTCTTTATACAAACTGCTAAAAAAAAATAAAAAAATACTGCTAATAGGGATGGGCATGTGTTTATTGATGTTATGTTTAAGGTGCGTATGGCCACTCCGTATTGTAAATAGTTCTTATTTTGAATGTAGGGATTTTAAGTAGACCCATTATAACAAAAAAACTACTATCAAACTAAAATAAATTCCAGAACAGTATAAATGACAGACATCATGAGACACATAAGAGCTGTGGATTATGTAGAAGAGAAATGTTAATTTATGGCAGAAACAGTCGAAAGTGAGATTTTCTTTTCAAAAATGCTGCTATTACGCCCTACATTTACAATTAGTCAATTTTCCACAAATCCTTGTTTAATAAAATGCTCACATCCGTGATATTTTCAATATATTATCTTGACCTATGGACCAATCAGATCTTGGACTACAACTCCCATAGCAAACTGACAGAATTATAAAATGTGTCAATTATGAGAGTTTTAGCCCAAGAGCTTCTGGATGCAGCAGTTTGATACCCCAACGACTAAATGGCACCATGGGAAACGCAAAAAAGCTGTAAAAAAATAAAATAAAATAAAAATAAAGTTTATGACAAAGTACCCACAGAGCTTAACTATTGTAGCCAATTACAGACACCACTTTATTCTATAACAGTGATTGGATGTATTACATATTGTTACAACATTATTGAAAGCATCTTCTTGGGCACTCTGGGAGGTATCTCAAAGAAAAGACCCTATAAGCAATATTGCACTACTACTACTCTGTTCACAAAAGCAGAGGCAATATTGATAGGGTCTCTTCCCCAAGTTTAGACCCACGTTATAATAAAAGTGTGGAGAATTCAAAATACCAGAACCTATCAGGAGGCAAATGAAAGAAGTTAGGCCGTTTACAGTCAGATAGTAAACACACAAGTTGATATTAATAACATTTTGAGATTCACATCATTCAATTAAAACAGTTTAGAGATTTAATACATAAAGAAAAATAACCAGATAGGAATGCCTATTGCAGAATGTCTGCAAGACATTTATTCTCATCATACTTAATGTTAAAGTTTAAAATTCCAATTTAGAAATTGTATTTTCTCCAGTATAGCACACTTTGCAAAACTGAATTGTTAGGAATTTATTTAACAGTTCTCACATAGCACAAAGTGATTTTCACATTTTAGGCTACAATACCCAATTGGAGAAAAATAAATCTCCAAGTTTAGCTTAACATGTGACATTCACTTTGAATTCATGATAATCCACACTTTAGTACATAACCTTGCTAATGTTATCTAACAAGGACACTATACAGGCATACACCAGAGGCAGAATACAGAATCTACAGCAACAACGTTTCGGCTCAAGTCTATTTTCCACCATGCAGACTTGTCCACATATCTCAAACATAGCGACTCACTGTTCATCAGTAAATGCATGCAAAAATATGGCTACTTTACCATTTTCAACAAACTTCTGCCTCGTTGATGGCAGCTTTTTATTGATCCTGCTTGTTTAACCTTTCAGGAAATGGAGGGGAGGGAAAAGAGGGGGGGGGTCTGTTCTCATTTTATGGCTCCCCCCAGCACACACCCTCTTTCCTTCCTCAATACAGCCTCCTCCCCATAGCCCACCAATTCACTTTTTTGACACTTGATCCCCTCCTCTCCCTTCTCTTCCCTCCACTGACTGGTTTTCCAGCAGATTAAATGAAAGTGGAAACGGGATACAATCCTGTAATTCCTGGATTCTTGTCTAATGTATACATTCCCCACATTGATCTTACTATTGCATTAAAGATTCCTCACGTTCCACAGAACAGTGTGAGACAGGCCTGCTCTCCTTTGATGTCAGATCCTTTCTCAGCACAAAAAAACCCAAAGCAGAGACACTAAAAATAACGAATAATATGGAAGTGACTAACTCTTTCAATGCCTGTCTGGTCAACAATAGGTTAATTGTACATACACCCAAGCTGCTTTTTGCATCTTAGAGAGGTTAGGGTTTGTATACAGCAAATAGATCTCCATGATTACAGGTTATCCCCAAGACACATAACACGGAGTCCAGTCTTATAGTTCTGGTGTGTAAACACATAGCATATCCATATCTAGCCTCCTGCAGACAGCCTCCCCTTCCTGTTGGATCAGCCTTTAGAATGCATGCTCCTTATTTGGGATATACGGAAGAACCATCATCCATTACTGTACAGATGAACTATGACATCAGCTGAGATCCTAGAACTCCCATCTCACACTCCCCCAGCTTGTAAAAGACCTCAACCCTTTTGGGGTAAACTGTTTTTGTTTTACTCAATTTCCTATATTCTGCTTCCAAAGTATATGTATCCCCCTACAAAAAAAAAAAACAAGCCCCCTCAGTATACTCCTACAGAAATACACAGAATATCACAAGGGTCCATGTGAGTTGCAGCAAGGCAAGTCTTAAGTTATATAAATAAAAAACAACAACAACAAAAAAAAACCACACAACACAAACAGCATCAGACTCCCCCAGAAAGGGTTTTTCGATTCAATTTAAAGTTGGCCGTTTGAGACGAAACTTATAGATTTATAAAGGAAACAAAATGTGTATGGCGTGTCTTAAATGTGTATAACAGGGATGCCAAAAAAGGTAGATCTCCAAATGTTTCAGAACTACAAGCTCCTTTGATGCATTGCATGCCGAATGACAAAAGCATCATGGAAGCTGTAGTTTTAAAACATCTGTGGGATCTACTTTTTTTTGCCACCCCTGATCTACGGTATATCTTGCAAGGGGGGAATAAGCATGCCCTACTCCATTTTTAAAGGGATTAGAATCTTGGAAGATTTTCTTTTTGTGCAAAGAATGTTAGTACACCATTAGCTAATGCTTCAAACTGGAAAACCATTTTCCATGGCCGTCTGTACATACCCCAACATCTCAGATGAGCCAAGTGCCCTAATAAAGACATGCATTTCCAGAATGTTGTATGCACTTATTTTAACCAAGTTTAAAACAAGAGATTAGCTAAAGTCTGCTATTTATACCCTAGGAGTCAGATCATGTTCAGATATGTTTAGAAAGATATCTTGACTTTATCACATTTCAGAAATGCTCCTTTTGTCTAGTTATAGATCCCAAACTAAGAATATACCCAGGGCTTTGTATGTCAAACGGGCTATTTTAGATTAAAGAGCTCTCTTCTCATTGATGGAAGCACAAAACTGGCATCAGTGTTGTACATTTGACACTAGAAATATTTTTCAAATGGCAACCATATGTACAGACATTAGCTACTGCAACAATTACATGAACCCAGGAGTCTACAGACTTCTTTGGTAGAAAATGTTTACAATACTGACCAGTTTATTATGATATTAATACAGGACAAAACAGTAGTATTAGATTAAAATGAAATACACACGGTAGTGGTACTTTTAGAGAAACACGTTTACTTATGAACTAGCCAGACTACTGTAGTAAATATAAAATTTTGCCACTATATTGCTTTTGAAGAAAAACAAATTGTGGGCTTAACGTTAATATTTGGATACTGAATATAAATTAAAGAAAATTAAATACAGTGAGTTAAAATAACTATGCAGTTACACATTGTGCTTATATACCAAATATAAAAATGAGTGAAGTATTTGCTGCACTAGTTACAGCTATATAGCTAACAACAAATCCTGATGTCTAGTGCCCACCTAGTGTCTCCAACCTATTTATTTTGGGTGGGTGGGGTATTTCAAGAATCATCTTTGAGCTGCCAGGTGAAGGGGTAAATTAAAGTAATGTCCCCGTGATTCCAAGCATTCCACCATTGTCTAGTTAAACCTAAGGAGCAAGCTTGTACAAATCTCCAGATACACAGGGGATGCCTGTGTGCCAAGCAGGATGAAACCTGCCCAGGTGAGCACAGCCTCTTAGCACTAAGTACTCTTAATAATCGTTCGATTTGGTCTCTCGGGCTGCTTTTGACAGCATACAAAGTGGTGCAGAACATGCCCTGAAATTAGTGGGCTGCGTCAACGCTAAACAGTCATGAGCAATATTTAAAAAAATAAATAAATAAAAAAATAAACCACACACACACACACACTTGTGCTGTCATGCTAGAAGTGAGCACCAAGACACGGTGTCAAAATGGATACATGTTAACCCACTAATAGCCAAAGGCCCTACTGAAGACGGAGAAGTGCTGGAGCTTGGTAGTCCCTACTGATAGCCCGGATTCTACGTGCTGGCCTTCAATAGGTGGCTGTTAGGCGGATTAGGGGAGGGAGAGGGGAGGCTCACTTACAGGGGTCCCGGGTACAAGGCGATCCCTCCCAGGCCGCTTCCTACACATGAGGGCTTCTTTTAACAAGTTTATGCAACGACAGGATGAAAGCTCTCCCGAGGCTGTGCCTCCCCCTGCACAGCCCGACCTGATTCTCAGCATTCCTCAGCCCTCTCCCCCACCCCCCGCCTGGAATCCACACACACACCTAGATCTACTACACACAGATCATCTGCACTATACCACACAGTGACACTTACAGATCTGTTCACATATACATTGTGCAAATAAAATATAGGTATTGCACACATTCATGGTACTAAGGCCTGTAGCAAATCACTTCATAACATAGTATATATAATTATTGGACACATAAATGTGTTCTTATTTACACTAACAGGCATGCAATCGTCCTACTACGCCCTCCTTTCTATATCAATACATACGCCTACACATGCTCTCCTTGTACAAATAACAGACTTCAGATGGATTTGCTTATTTTTAACATAGCCCCTTTCTAAAAGAGCAAACCCCTCACCCAACCCCCTCTCTACCAAGGTTAAAAACAAGGGTTGAACTCAAAGGACCTGCCACCTAATGGTGTCCCCAGCCTTCACCCCACACAGTCTGGCAGTCACTGGATTCTGCTTTATTCTAAGGCTGTGTATAGAGGAAGGCCTGTTACAAACGACCTGCAACGTTACGGGTGTGGATAGAGCTCAGTGATCCCCTGCATTTATACATGAAATCGATAACAATAAAACTACCAATGGCGTGAGCGTTAACATTAAGTCACAGCTCACACATCACGTTGGAACTGGCTTTATAACGCTCCCATTATCACAACCAGTAATATGTGCACACATTTTAATAGGTAAAAAAAAAAAAGAGCATCAGCATACTGCTGTATAAATCGAACACTGCAAGTCAAACCTCTCTGTATCCTTACTCAGACCTATAGCTGGCACCCCCACAGAAAAAGTAGAGAGATGCGGATCATCCATATTCAGTTAGTTTACATTCACAATGATCTTTGGGACATGACTACATAGGGGGAAAGAAACCCTAAAAGCATACTAAAACACGGCCTGAGTTGGAGAACAATATACAATAGTGTATGCCACTTCCACACACTTCCAACCAGGCCACGTCATGTTGGGCCTGAACCCTGAATTGAACATGCCTCTCCCTATATTAGGTATAGAGCTTTAACTGCAGAGAGAGAGAGAGAGAGAGAGAGAGAGAGAGAGACTCCATTTTCTCGAAGACCCACTAGCAGAAGAAAATTTGCACATCCAAGCCACCAAGGACAATATAAAAAGGCAGCAACTGTTAACCACGGCCCGTCTGATGTTTGTGAACTACACTTCCCTTGATGCAAAGCCCACTAGGCTGTCTAACGGTCATGTGAAATGCAGATCTTGCTACAACATTTGGGTTAAAAGGATTACTCATCACTGTTAAAAATAAGAGATTCCAATATAGAACATAGCGTGAAGAGATATTTAAAAAAAAAAAAAACCACACACTCTAGGTTTGTAGCTATACTAGAAAAGACGAGGGTCAAGAACCAATATAATCTAGAACTACAGAGCAACGGTGGATCTCTCCCAACTGATCTCTCCCAGTCCCCTTTACAGCACATTAAACAATGCATGCACCCTTATCACCTTAAAAAAAAAAATAAAAAAAAAAAAAAATTAAAATTAGCAATTTTACAAGCAATTGATCTAACACGAACACTATTTCTTAATGATTCAGAAATATGTCATTGTAGCAGACGTATTCTGAAAAAACAAACAAAAAAAAAAAAAACCACACACAATCACGCAAATACGATGATAGTACCCAAACCCAAAAGATGGCTGTATAATGTGCATATTATCTCGCTTTTTGTAATTAAGATATACCAGTTGTATTAATATGATCCATCAGTTCAAACAAGAAAAGAATAGATAGAAGGCTGGCCAGACTCTAAAGGGTTAGTGTGAATTAAAGCGATGGTTGTGATGTAGCAGAAAAAAAAAAAAAAAAAAAAAAAATATCGTGGGGGTGGGTATCCCTGTTTGGAGAATCTAAGGAACTGAATATTAGGGTGACATCCAACACCAGGATATGTATCTTACTTGTCACAGTTCTTGGGGATCTCTTTCTGTCCACCCCAGTAAATGGTTGAGGTTGAAGTTCTGCAGGAATGAAATGCTTTGACAATACGATTGCACTGCTTCATTTGAGAATACAGTAGTGCAACACTGTCAGAGCATCTCACACCAGCTTCCATTACAAGCTCGATGTGTCCAGTGTGCTTAGTAAATAGTAAGATACACACCACCACTAAAAACCACCCCAAATCCTTGGCAATAACCTCTGATATCATGTTCAAGCCTACAAGGCCACACAGTCACCTGTGAACAGAAAAAAAGGCCCTGTTTATTTTGAAGCTAGCCTGCAGTGAAGTAAACAAAACAAACATGATCTTTAATATATGCAAAACAGAAAATTGTATTGAAACGTGAGATACATAATCACACAGCAATCCAAAGCCAGTTTATTCATTTGTACAAGCATGCAATAAAGTCTTTTTAGGCATTTACTTACTGATAATCGTTCTCAGACAATGCAACACTGTATCCTGATAAATTGCAGGTTATTTTGTAGATACGATATTTTATACAATTGTTAATATCTAGAAGCACATTATAATAAGCCTTGATGAACAGAGGTTATACAGTCTAAATCACAACCTGGTATAATAATATGAATAAAACACATGGTGACATTATTTGTGTGATTGCTACAGAATGATATTTATATGTGTATTCTGCATTTTGTATTGATACCTTAAGTATCACTTTGTACATGTATCAGGATACAAGTATGCTTGCTTGTGAATAAAAAGTAAATAGATCTATGCAGAAAAAGAGGAGGCTGTTTTTTTGTCGTATCTGCGATGAACGCCCATTGTGGACACCTATAATTTAGAACTGTTAGAATACTGTCAGCCAATGCCCTTTTGATATTGCACTGCTAATCACAGATCCCAGTAGCACAACAAAAAAAGGGCCTCGGATAACAGATGTGTCTTTCCCAAAAAATAAAAGGGTTATTTTTAACTCTCAAACTTTAGTACAAAATTTTTTAAAGTCACCAGAAATAAATTTATATATATACATACATATACACACACACACACACAGAAGATGCATAAACACATTTATATATAAATGTATATTGTTTGTAAAATGTATCACACACCCACCCAATATGTTTTTCTATTTGGCCTAGAATATTAAATTACAATGATAGAAAAGTTGCAGAAATTCAAATATATCACAAAGACAGATAATTATACAATTATATTCACATTAAGCAAACCAATTATTTTAAAGATTTAAAAAATAAATAAATAATAATTCTTCGTAATAAAGCCTAATATTGCTTCCCTCCCCTCCCCCCCCTTCTGATACGGTTAAACAGGGGGGAAAAAAAAAAATGTTACCATCAGCAAGTTTATTAGTCTATTTGTAATTGTAAAAAAAATAAAAAAATAAAAATAAAATATAGAAGTGTACCGTAGAAAAAAAAAAGACCCAAAAACAATACAAAAACAGGAAAACCCTTAAAGCTGAAATAATTAAGTGTGACTGGATTATTTAAAATACTGCTTGTCCCATAAAGTGTAGTGAAGAAAACTTATTTCAGCCAAAGTAAATATTGTTTTATAACACTGACAAAATATTTTGGGAAAAAAAAAAAAATATATATACGTACATATTATTGCCATTATTTAACACTATTTGTTAGATCTGATGCTATATTTCCCCACATTCTGCTGTGACACAGGAAAGGTCTAGAATTTAAAAAGCATCTTTTTAAATTAAAAATAAGAATTTTAAAAGGTAGAGGAATGATTTCATGTAATATAAAGGAACAAAATAGAACGGAAAGACGATACTTTAAATACTCAACGTTCTATGCGTTCGCTCTGCGAGGGGCACATTTGTATAAATATTTATTACAGTAACAGGAAGAAATATAAGGCTGCCAACACAACAGCTATGCAACTATACTTTAAATGATCGAAAGACCAAAAAAAATGCATAAATTAATAACCCAGACCTAGAAATATTAAGATTTCATTCAGCATTATAACTCGCTACCAGACAGAGCATGGGGGGGGGGGGGTGCAAACTTTCTAGGAAACAAGTTAAAAACTATTTTTTTGTTTTGTTAAGAAAGTCCTTATTTCAGATGGTCTGACAGCAATTGGCAACACACTCCTAACCTCTTCCGATCATAATGAGACTTAATTCTTCCCTAGTTGATTATGAAGTGCCACCATGTACCAGTAGCTCCGGTACCTTCACTTTCTGTTCTGTAGAATCCAATCCCGAATAGAAACCACAGGAATGGGGAGTTGGGGGGGGGGGGTTTATGTCTCCATCCTAAAGTGAAACAAGCAGAATGGACTCTCTGGAGAGTAGATCGAGCGTGGGGACAGATAGTCTCTTCAGTTCGCACCCCTCAGGGCGGAGGTGGTGGCAGACATGGCAATGGATGGTGCCTCCAGCACTTTGAAGTCCCATCGTGGAAACGAGCGATGCCACTTCCAGTAATACTAATGCCCTGTTTCTGGGGAGGGGGGGGGGCTCTGTTCTCTTACCCCTCCCCCCATATCCCCCCCAATACCTAACAGCCACCCCCTCCTCTCCTCACCCCGGGCCCCCCACTCATTCGTGTTTATGGGCATTCAAGACCCACGGTGCCAGCCTTCTACCCAGACATGTGATGCCACCCGCCAAGATCAGCAACATGGAGGCCCCTCCTGGGTGTCTCCTTCTTGCCCAACTTCAACCCCAGCACTGGCCAGCCGCTGCTCCCCTCACTGCACGGACTGCCTGTACCATCCCCACCACTCCCCCAGCTCCCGCCATTTCCGCCCATGGTCCCCGGATGCTACTCACCAGCTCTGAGCCCCAAATCCATGAATGGTACCTGGGCAAGAGAGGCACCTCCTTCTCTTGGAAAAGTTGACCAAAGAGCCCGTTATGGAGCCTGGGGGCAGCCCGTCTGCCACAAGCCTTGTTTAGGGTCCCAGGCCTCGGCTCCGGGCTAGCTCCTGCGCTTAGCTGAGGAGGGAGAGGCGGATCTCCTCCCCGGCACGAACCTCATGGCCTCCCAGCTCCAGCCTCCATCTTTGACTAGTTGACATTCAGCTCCTGCTTGGACAGATCCTCATTTGCATACCCCCTTTTCAATTGGTCGGCGCCTGCGCTAGTCTTTGGCACCGACGCTCCCATTGGTCGGAGTCTGAGGATATTTAAAAATATTATCTGCGCTCCGATAGGCTGGCGGCAGCTACACGTCATTCACGTTCTTTATTTTAACAATGAATGCACAAACACATTCTTCCATTCACAAATTTTTTTGGGTTTGCCCGCCTTTTTTTCCCCCCAACTAGATTTTCATTGATTTTGGTCCCAGCAGAGGGGTCCTGAAGAGTAAACACATCCAGGAGGGAGGACACACACATGGGAAACACACAGTACTCACCCAGAGCAGCAGGGGGGCGGTGATCTGGTGTTCAGAATAACACAAGGATACCTCACAACACCCCATCCCAACATCAAATGTAGCAGGGGACACAGTATGACACTTTGTACATTCTAGAATCATTGCAAGGAGACTAACCAGTTAATATGCCAGGAACAAGTGTCCCAAACAGTGCCACCACAAATGATCATTTACTACAATACTAGAGATTAAAACACTGAAGCCAAACCTGTGAAATTATACTGTGTAAAATCTGAATAGAAACATGCTCTACTCACATAATTAATGCAGTATATAATAATAATACCACACTTCAGTGAGATCTTACTTTTTTTTAAAAAAAGACACACACAGTGTAATGGCTAACCTCAATGAGTTCTGTGATCCAGCATTTTATTTATAAAATGTTGCCTATAAAGTGTGAATAAAAGAAAAACAAAAAAACAAAACTCTTTTGAATAATCACTGGTATTGTAACTTAATAACAAGGAACATAACTTACTGGTATGTAGCTACACATTACAAAACATTTACAAAATAATGTCCTATAGATACTTTAATTACACTGAAAAGTAGTGAAGAGTATTCTTTTATGAGGTCTAATTTAATTGGAGATTATATATATATATATATATATATAATCTCCAATTAAATTAGACCTCATAAAAGAATACTCTTCCCTACTTTTCATATATATATACACACACACATACACATACACACACACACACACACATACACGTGGAAGTGGTTTTCGTCCACACTTTTGTTCCCCACCACAACACTTTTGGTATGTGTGTGAATATACACACACATACATTTTTTTTGTTTGTTTTTTGTTTTTTTTACACGAATACACCAAGCTCTCTAAACATCAGTGTTTGTTAAAATAATACATATGTATGTACAATACATACTCCTGGAGAAGTGTAAGGTTTATTTTACTTATTTTGTTTTAATTATTGTAGATTTGACAATACATTCCAATCCCCTATCTCATTACATTTGCAATTTATCTTGTATGTGTTTTTTTGTTTTGTTTTTTTTCCATGAAATAAAATATCACTTCCTAGCAGTTGCTTTTATTATGATTTTTCACAGACATAAGTGATTAGGCTGCATTGCTAAAATGTCCATTTCTCATTCAGAGGGAGGGATTTTTTCCTCCTTGGACCTTTGGCAGGGTTTTTGGGTAGATGGGAGAAGCAGTGGGCTGTGAAATCAGACATTCCTGTCCAATGGAGCTGAGATTATAGCATTGTTCTCTAGAAAAGGGGTTGCTTTTCTCTTCTCTATCCCCCCTCCTCATCTACAGGGACCTGATTGTGCAGTTAATCAGCAAAAAAAGCGTTTGATGTAAGGCAGGGCGTGAATTCAAAAAGGCCATGAGGGATTCAAAGGGGGATTTCTGTCTATTGGAAAATGTTATTCTGGTTTCAAAATGGTAGCCATTTAAAGCTGCAGTGTCCTCTGAAAACAGTTCGCAGAGAATTCTGGCACCAAGCACAGCGTCTCTTTATTTTGTGTGGAGGAGGAGCGCCTTCCCACAATGATGCTGGATAACAGATATATGAAAAAAAAGAATAAGGGTTCCCTGGAGTCTGAGGTGAGCCCCTGAAACATGCACTTTAACTCTTTCTCCAAATGGCTATATAGTTATAGATTAGTAGATTAAACAGAATAGAATTTTACATTTTAGGGGGAAAAATGTAAGGGTCAAATAAACAATTAAAAAATAGTTTTTATATTTATATACACACACACACACATACATATAATATCTATATGTATACCTTTACCAGAGGCAGTTAAAGAGGAGTGTGTTTGTGCTAATATAAATGAATTAGACTGTAGGAATGAGGTGCCTTTCTGCATACTAACATTAGTTTAATGGTACATTAACTTACCTTGGGAGAAGTTTGAAGACTGTGTTGATGCCACTTATGCCAGGCATACCCTCAGGCCCTGGGGTTGTGATTAACCACTCCCAAGCCAAATGGACTGCTAGTCCTCCAGTCCATTGAGAGTTAAGTGCAATGGTGATGACTTCCTTTTTTTTTTCCTCCAAGATCCCTTTACATGCTTTAAAAAGTTGCTGCTGGCTCTGTCCCTGTTCCTCATGTCTGTCACACGTGTGCGGTGGGTAGGAGGGGGTAATGTGATAAACTGGGGCTCTATGAAATAATAAAGGGGGAGATGGAATGGTATAAATCAACGTGCTTTTGCCAGAGCTTGTTTTCTCCAGTGTAACCGTCCAGATTACGTCACTGGGCGGGGCCTGAACTGTTTTTACTTAAAACTATATCTCCCCAAAACAAGGCCTTCACCTAAAGCCTCTTTAACCTCTTACTGCCTGCGGGTCACTTAAGGGTTAACTTCGTGAATGATTTTTTTTTTTTTTTAAATACACTTTAAGTGTGCTTTTGCTTTTTTGTAGGTTGTTTTATTTGTAAGGTTAATTTAACACCTCAAAAAAAGTTAAAGCAGCAGGAAGTTTAAGATTAGAATTATGAAAGGGTTAA